TCGTGGAGTTACCCATTTTGTATCTCCGATCTTGGTAAGTTGTCATTGCGACTCTGCTGAGAGTAGCGAATTGGTAGGAACCATGCAAATTCGACATAGTTGCAAGCGACGGTCTATGAGTGATGAGGACAAGGGCGAATTCGTCATTACGGAGATATATACAAGTGGGAGGCAGTTTTGGAATTTATGTTTGCTCTCATCAGCTGAGCTCAAGAGTTTCCTCACTAATTATTGTGGTTTCTATAAGAATTAGGGTAGGAGTGGACAGAAACCATTGAGAATTCCCGAAATTTCCTCTAAATTTGCATATTGTCACCAACACGTGCATATTTCCCCCTCACACTGGTGGGACTAGTTCTCAATGATTGCTTCATGGAGATCGTGACAAGGTACGCCCGACAACGCAACGATCTTCATTGCGCTTCGGGCTCCTACTGCGCCGGATTTCAAACTGCACAACATGTATACAGAAACCGTTTGGTTCCGACAAGCCGGTTTGTCTGAGCTGCCTTGGGAGCAGCTCGAGCCGTGTATGAATCGATCGTATTGCAACGTGATGCGGAGTGTCATATAGGCACTTCTATCGAGTTTTCTTGGCATGATCCTGCAGGAAGGAGAATTCTGCAAGTAAGAGACTAATGTGGCGATCTGACATGTGCAGAATCCTATAATGTTGCCGGGGGAACTCATTAAAATTTTCCACATGGTTGGGAACACATTATTCGAATAGTTTCCCATGTAAATGTCATCAGTTTAGGAATCCCCCCATTGTTGTCAAATTCTGGGAGACGTTATCTCTCAAAGCTAGATCGGGTCCTTGACTGTGTGAGAATTTACGACTTGGCTATCTACGTGGTCTACGAACACATTCTCGGTTAATAGAGTTCCACCGGTTTCACGTGAAGTGGCGTGATAGTCCATGTGACAAACGCGATATGAAGTGAATTGAAAATTATTGACGAATTACACCGACAGATGACCCCATATTTCGTAAAACATTCCGTGTGTTTCACGCGTTATTTGTTGCTCACTGGTGTTTTTCGCGAGGTGAAATTTGAAATATGTTTTTCATATAACGGATGGAACTTCAATATTATTTTCTGATCAGTTGCGTTTCGAGGCAAAAGAGCGTTTGAGAAGATTGCTGGACCCTCGAAACCGAAATGAAGTGACAGATTTGGTACGACATAAATCTATGAGAACTCCCGGAGTAATCGAAATCGAGCTTGCGAGGATTAAGGCAAGTCGATCAGGCTCTACGAGATGCCGCGGGACGTTAACTTTCGACAGGTTCATGAGAAGCTGGTTACTGAAGCGTCAGAAACTGTCATCATTGAAGTGATTGTCTCCGGAGGTTCCAGGATTCTCCGAATGTCGTTGCTGAAGGATGCACCGTTTGGTGGTGATGCGCTGATCAGACCGAGTAAATGAAGGCTTCTTGGGACAGTGTTGGACGATTATATGTTAGGATTGCTCAGCTAAGCTCAGAAGCTCATAGATGACTTGAAGTAGAAGTGTAAAAAAACCAATAGTAAATTTACCCGAAATTTCCTCAGAATTTTTACATATGTATATTTTTCCCCACACTGTAATAACAGGTGCACGACAACGTGCTGCTACTGTGGCGGGAGTAGTGACTGACGCTGTTACTCGTATTGCAGGGAATGTGATGGAGACGGCAGCTACGGGTAAGTGGATGCTGTTGAAGAATTGGTTCCTGCTATGAGGTGGGGAGAGGGTGAGAGTTTCCATCCAATATACCACAAGAAAGTCATCGTGACTTTCTAGTGGTGACCTAGTGGTTGAAGACCAACAGTGTTGGGAGATGTGCACAATGTGCGCTACACATGGTCAACCACATGTGTTGATGACAATATGGAAATTCCGAGGAATTTTTGGGGATTCTCATCGGTTTCTGTAGACTTCTATGGAGCCCCGTTTGTGAACTGCTACACACGAATTTAGGTAGAAGTGCACCGAAACCGAAATTTCCTCATAATTTCCTCATTGTCATCATCACATGTAGTTGACCATGTGCATATCCCCCTTCCCACCACACTGTGAACAATCACGCCCCTCCAATCCATTGGTATCGTTAAAGCTGCGGAATACACGCTACGTTGATTTGTCGTCGACCTGCGGCAGCAGGTCGGTTTACGTGTACGTAGTTCATACTTCTGCACACGGCCATTTCTTGGTGGATCAGAATCATTCACGAAGTCTGACATGTTTTCATCGCCGAAGAAGAGTCCACAGAGGGACGGGTGGAAGTGCATACGGCATGAACTGCGCTTGTATAGCCACAAGCTATAGGGTGCACCAAGCCGTTATGCATATCTAATTTCTGGAGATTGCTTTCTCCAATTCAAGAATTCGACTATCAACTAACTTGCAGAACGCTTCTAAAACGATGTATACCAGTTCACAATTGACTCTCGAACCTCCAAAAATTGAAGGTGTTGAAAATATTACTTTGCACAACACTTTTGTTCACACTGTAGTCGTACCTTCTTGAGAAAGGACCAGTTTTGGACGAGATCCGAGTAGTATTCGAATTTGATCATTTAGGTGGGAGAATGATTCGCAGTACCGTTACGAAGCCGACCAGACTAGTAGTGCCTCGTATGGGTGTGTTGAAGCGTAAGAGGAAAGTTGAAAAGGAGTTGGGGCGACGGAAGAGTTTACGGAGATCACGACGAAGCCACTTACTCGCGGAGCGAAATGGTACGTGTTAATCAACTGTGTTGGAGGAGTATATGTTTGCTTACCTCAGCTGAGCTTGGGAGTTTCCTCGGTAACTAGGGTAGAAGTGTAGAGAAACCAGAAAAAAATTCGCCAAATTTTGCTCAAAATCCACTTCCACACTGTCGGAGTCTTTCCTCATTGTGGAATACTATTATGTTTTAGGCCCTCTGAGCTTCCTAAGGTCGCCGTCACAGCCGGGGCATGTCATTGAAACAGGTTAGTTAATGTCGTTTACGTGAACAACACGTGATGAAAAAGGGTGATTCGCGAAGAGTTCTTTCTATTCACTTCACATAAAAAATTACGTCACTTCACGAGACTCGGGTGAAACTTCACCGTGTTATGGTATTCGAAATATCATTATTTTTTCCTTCCAAGATTCGGACAACTACTCGGCGGTGTCAAGCTACCACATTGACAGAGATGGTTCTCCCATTATAACTGAGCAGGAACCGCAAATCGATAAAAAACTCGAAGCTCTGTTCGACCGTAGTTGATGTTAATCTCAACCGTGGTGGAATTTTGTTTCCCGCAGATCTCGATTTACTCGAACGGCCGATACCCCGTGATTTGGCTACTGTTTTCGGTGAGAGAGCGACCACTGGATATTGCAATAGAACTTTCAATGATACTGATATGTTCTCGCTCAAGCGTGGGGAGAAAGATGTGAGTCGGCAGTGTTGGAGGAATATATGTTTGGTTTTTTTCTCGGCTGGTCTCAGAAGTTTCCTCAGTAATTATAACAGTTTACGTAAGAAATCGATTCAATGGAGTTTCACCCGTTTTACGCGAAGTGGCGTGAAATTCGGTGAAAAACACGATATTCGCGGCAGAGGCGCCGCATTTTCGGCATCGTCGATGCTGGGCTGCCCGCAGTTTTGTCCGAGGGCCGCTAGACGTCTCACTAGCGGGCCGACGGCCAGAGCCGTCGTCTGCGCACAATTTTCATTGAGCAAGCGGTGGTGAGAATCGCATACTCTGAAGATGGAAGCCCGAACTTAACACAATATGTGGACCTCCGCAGAAATGTGCGTGCTACGAAATATCGATACTACCGAGCACACGAATAAGACTAGACTACTGTGTTGATAGGGCACAGACATTTATACGACCGTTCCTAGCTTGGATGAACTCGTCGGCTAAAGCCTCTAAAGAGAGCTCATCACAAAAGCTACGATTGATGCCACAAATTGCGTAGGAGTTGAGCGCATCCTGGCTTATTGTGGTTCTTAATTTGGTTTTGATCCGCGGCAACGCGGAGAAAGCTCGTTCGGCCGAACACGTCGATGCTGGTAGAACCAAGAGTGTGATGAATAGCCGACGAAGTTGTGGTAGGAGACCCCCGATGTCAGCCTTCAGACCAACTATGATATCATCCATAGATAAGCGTGCTCCATTCTCCATCTCAGTCCTGCCCTGGCTAGAAAACCATGCCCTCATAACCTGCCTCTCTCCCACCAGAGCATCCCAGTCGATGTCTTGGTATAAGGTCTTCAATGCGCTCGGCACTTCTGCATTGGCCAGAAGCACAGACTCAATATGACCAACCATGGTTAAATCAGCCACATCATATTTGAGATCTATGAGTTTAACAATCTCGAGGAGCAATGCTTTATGTATTCGAGCTACGAATTGGATATGAAGTAATTGCTCAATGTGATCTCTAGAATCCCTACTTGCTCGAAGACCTCGACGTGCTGCTCTGTGAAGCTTTGGTGGATCTATACCAAGTGATTGGGCTTCTTCAACTGCGTCTTGATAGAACGAAACGAGCTTGGACCAGTTCTGTGCTTTCTCGGACAGTCGTCTCTTGAGGTCCTCCAGTAAATCCCGGACAGTGCAAATCGATAGACCTGGTGCCTGCACGGTAGCGTGGACAGGCAAGACCGTTTTAAAACCGTCGTCGAGGACACGTAAACAATAGAAAGTTTCGAAGGAGTCGAGTCTCTCACCAAGTACAACAAGAGCTGAGTCGCCCCCAGTGCCGTCTTGGCTACAATAGCTCAACAAGAGCTCATAGTTAGCCAAGGCAGCAATCACCGCTCTACCGTTGCACAACCAACGCGTATCCGATAGGGTTTTCAGAGTAGGTAGTCGCTGGGCTCGAATTGGCCCTGCCACAGCCTCCTCATCGCTTGAACCATCAGACTCTGTCTGGGAAGAGACGTACTCTTCAACCAAATCATCACCCACAATTCTGGAGTCGTCAGGTGAACGATGGAGCTGCACAAACTCCTCCCATGAGGCAAGCTTCTTCGGCGAGCTCTTAATGTGCTTGGCCAACTGTCCGATCAGCTCAATGCTTGCCTTACAAGGAGCGCAGGTGTCCGCCGACTGGCGGCACACAAGGTTTAGGGCGTGCCCCGCACAGTAGGTGTGCAGGACGGCGGGGAATTCCGCCTTTATCCGTGTTCTTAATCCGCTATGCACACCCACCATATTTGCAGCACCATCTGTGGCGATCCCGCGGCAATCACCCAAGGGAAGGGAGTATCGCATGAGGCAGTCTTTCACTAGACGTGTGAGACTAGCAGCATCCTGGTCTTTGGTAGAGCACCAACCCAAAAAGGTTTCCACCGGCGTCAGATCGGTGGGACATACCGTCCTCACGACAATCACAACCTGTTCGACCCCCTTAACATCGCTTGTCTCATCGACAACCACCGAGAAAAGTCGTCCGTTGAGGGACGAGGCGACTGCTCTCATTGTTGCTACTCCAATGAGAGTGATACATTCTCTGATGGTTTCTGAGGAAGTGAAGGTGACTTTGCTTGATCTGCTCAGCCACCATTGGAGATCGCTGTTGTGCCTCCTCAACAGTTGGATCAACTGATTACAATTACTATCAGCATGGCTGTGCCCCCGCAACGGTAGATTTTGCCGTAGTGCTGAGCGAACTATGTCGATAATACACAACAGAGCTCTTCTGCCTCGCTTGCACTCATCAGCGGCGGTAGAAACCAGCTGTTTAAGCACGGTACCTCTGCCAGACTCTGTCGACAAGCGTAGCATTGCACTGCCGTGCTCACGAGACTTATCGTGTGCGGCAAACGTTCCATGCTGGCCAGTCACACGACGGAAGTTTGTTACTCCACGGCCCAAGGAGTTGGCAAGGCCATATTTGCGGCATGCCACACAATATGCCGTAGCAGTGAGTGCATCATAGCGGAGCCACCCATAATTATCCAAAAGACGATGAGGAAAGCGACCTGAATTATCGTCAGCTGCCTTATTGGTATCGCTATCCTGAAAGGATTATATAATTTACATATAGTATATTTATGCCAACCATCAGGCGAGAATGCAGGTCACTACCTTGAGGCGCGACTCATCCTTTGATCTATCATCCTCTTTTCCAGGCACCTCAGCAGATGAGCATCTGAGAAGTGGGTACTACCCACTGGGTAGAGATTGTTTGCCTGATTATCGTTTCAAATCCTATGACTTCAAGAAATATTCCCAGCAGATCAACGTCAAAGGTTAATCGAACGGTAGATTAAACTGTGATATTGCCAGCGGCCGCATTGATTTCATTACATTCCCTCCACCCCCAATGGTGCATTTCCAATGGTTTGCTGAACTCCTGCGGCTCCAGAAGAGCTGCTGGCTTGATGGAAAAAAAGACTTGCTGCAGCTTGCAGAGAGGGAAGCTCTTCATCGTACGCCTTCTGCCTCTCCTCTCGCCTACGTTTCTTTGCCCACCCTCCTGCTGACATGATGAGCTCGATAAATAGGAAAGCAAAAAACCACATAAGCTGTAGAACTAAATGACCCAGTTTCATTGATAATGCAGAATCAGATTAGCCAGCTTCCCTTTCCATAATCTAATCCCGCATGCGTGTCACTATAGAATCTCGCTCGCCCGTGGTGACACCACATGACCCATCATGGGTCACGATACATCATAATATGATCATATATCATGTAATGAGAGATATATTATGGAGCACGCTGTGTCTTATGTGGGCACGGTCTATTTGTGGGCTATTGCAGCTGAGGAATAATCTGGGCCGCACGACCAATGCCGGGTGCTGCCGGGTGCCATTCCGGGCCGCCCGCTCCGTGCCGGGTGCTGCCGGGCGAGGTCTCGGGCCGCCCGGCAAACGCCGGGCTGCCGGGTGGGCTGCGGCGCCTATGATTCGCGGTATGCTATAGTCGTTAAATATGTTTTTCACTAGTGTTTTTCATATCACGGGTGGAACTCTATTGTTGGAGTAGAAATATATATGTTCGCTTTCCTCAGCTGAGCTCAGCGGTTTTCTTACTAATTATAGAAGTTTTCATACAAATTTCTGTACGAAAATTTCTCTAAATTTTATTCGCGGAATTCTCATATTGTCATCACCAACAGATGTAGTTGACCATGTGCATATATTCCTCCCACACACTGTCCTTTCGTCTCAGATCGGTGACGAGGGTGTGTCACCAGCAGAACTGGAATGGGCTCTAGCAGCACACAAATTGACTGCGATAAAAGGAGTTAATCTCCCATGTGCCGTTCAGGAACTACTAGTGGCTAGCAGTAAGTCAAATCGACGATATGTATTAATTGTTTATTACGATTTTTCGAATACTGGAGTTTCACTGGTGATATGAAAAACACTAGCGAAAAAAATATATCACCGCGAATATCGCGTTTTTCACAGAGTATTACGCCACTTCACGTAAAACGGTGAAGCTGTACTTATTTCAGGATCTTGTATAGGATCATTTTGTGGGTTGATGATAGTGTAAAGTTGTGAATCGAAACGTGTGCTCGTTTTCTGAGATGGCTACTAGTGAAAGCACCGTTGTCATTTATATACGTATTACTAGTACGAGTATTATTGGAGTTTCTTGACCCTAGTGATATGAAAAACACTAGTGAAAAATATATATTTCCCGACTACTGCATAGCGTGAATATCGCCACTTCACGTAAAACGAGCGAAACTCCATCTATACTAGTATAACCTTCCGTTTTTCATCATTGTCGCGGCACAATGCAAATAATAAGATTTTTACATCCATCTATGTACCCACCGAGAAACACGTGTGACTTGGACGGCCTGAGAATGTGCATACTAGGTGCAAGTATTAGTATTACTGGAGTTTCTCGACCCGTTTTATGTGGAGTGGCGTAAAACTCGGTGAAAAACGCGATATTCGCGGTGCTATATAGTAGTCGTGAAATATGTTTTTCACTAGTGTTTCTCATATCACTAGGGTCACTAGTACGAGTGAGAAAGGCGACATCTTGGAATCCATAGTTCTCTTGCTGGAATCGCCTAGCCAATAGCACAGCGGAGCGAAGTGTTTCACGGTTTGTACTTTTATATTCTATCTTTCTCTAGGAGTCCTGTCACCAGTGATAACTGGAAAGGAAGTCAGCAGTAATGAGTGACAACTCATCATTTGGTGACATCGCAATCCCATACTGAAACTTAACCACTCTATTCCTTATAAGCTGAGAATTATGAAGTAAACAAATAAACATAGTATAACGTACATGCAACAATTGTTTGGAATAGGGAATCGATATTCGGCTTAGGTTCAGATTATTGATATCTTTTATCGTATTATTCGTTCGCAATTCTGTCGGTTCTCTCAGGCACAGCGACAACTGTATCATCAGCGATAGCATCTCAGTTGGAGGAACCGTTAAACTTGAAGACTCCGAGTGTTCGACTGAGTATGACTGTTGAGCTCGAAGGCATCGGGCTGAGCCTTATAGATTCAACTCCTGAGGAGCTACTGTAGGTGTAGGGGAGAAGAATGAAGTATTAATAGCAGTCAGCTTGCCCTTGCATATATAATTATTTTTTTAGTCAGGAAAAAATTTCCAGGAAAATTTCTAGAAGTAACGATATCATGTAGCAGTCAGTTTGCCCTTGCATATATATTTATTTTTTTGTCAGGAAAAAATCTCCAGTAAAATTTCTAGAAGTAACGATATTATATAGCAATATTAACAGCAGTCGGTTCGCTCTTGCATATATAATTATTTTTTTTGTCAGGAAAAATTTTCCAGTAAAATTTCTAGAAGTAACGATATTATATAGCAATATTAACAGCAGTCAGTTTGCTCTTGCATATATGTTTATTTTTTTGTCAGGAAAAATTTTCCAGTAAAATTTCTAGAAGTAACGATATTATATAGCAATATTAACAGCAGTCGGTTTGCTCTTGCATATATATTTATTTTTTTGTCAGGAAAAAATCTCCAGTAAAATTTCTAGAAGTAACGATATTATATAGCAGTATTAATAGCAGTCGGTTTGCTCTTGCTTATATATTTTTTTTGTCAGAAAAAATTTTTTTAGTGAAATTTCTATATTATATAGAAGGTATAGTATAGCAGAATTCTGAGTGTGTTATTGGTATATGATAAACTTGTTGTGTTTGCTTGTGGATCCAACCCCCGAGGGGCTATTTTAGAGCTAAGATGATGATTCTTAGGGGGGAAGGGAATCAATTGATAATAAAGTGGACAGTTCGCTGGTGAAGTTATATTCATTTTTTTGTCACAAAAAAATTCAGTGAAATTTCAGTAGTAAAAACTACGAAGACGTGTGTTTGTTATGAAATTTTTTGGAAAGTTGAATGGCAAAAAATTATGACATTGGAGTTTCACCCGTGATATGAAAAACATATTTTACGACTATTTCATACCGCGAGTATCGCGTTTTTCGCGTGAAACTTCATCATATATTATGTCCTTTTTTCGACCCGAAAAATCTCGAAAAATGTAAAAGTAATTTTCATTTTATTTGCTTTCTAGATACGCTTCAACTCGGCACATAGTGTTGTCGGTGAAAATGGCTGGAAATCCGAGTACTGACTCAACCGTTCAGCTGAGTATTGATAATGTGCAAGTCGACAACCATGTGAAAGGCGGGTGAGTGTGATATGTATTTCACATATTGGAATTTTTTTTCGGCGATATGATAAAACACTGGTGAGAAACTGATTTCACGACCATTGCATAGCGCAAATATCGTGTTTTTACGAAGTATTAGGCCACTTCACGTAAAACGAGTGAAACTCCAATATCGTTGAAAATAGAGTTTCATCAGTGAGATTAAAAACACTAGTGAAAAACACATTTACATTTCATTTTGCGGAAAACGCATGTGAGCGATTAATAACGTGCAGAATACGTGGTGTGTTTTATGTGATGTTTTACCGCGTTCATAAACGTTCATAAATGTTCATAAACGTTCATAAACGTTCATAATCGTTCATAAACGTTCATAATCGTTCATAACGTGTTTACCCAATAAACGTGATATGTGATATGGGTTTATTTGTCCGGTTTAATTCGCAAAGTGTTTTCAATTAACTTCAAATCGCGTTTATCACATGAAGTATTACGTCATTTCACGTGAAACTCCTCTGATCACTTGGTGAGTATAGGTACCAGTGCCGCAAAAATATATTCGATAAATGTACAGAAATTAACAAGGATTTTCCAAAATTTCCTCGCAGTTTTCATATTGTCACCAACACGTGTGGTTGACCATGTGCAAATTTCACCACACTGATAGGTATTTCAAAACACTACTGCATACGAAGACATCAAATTTGAATCGACAACGCGCTGAGGATCTGCTGCCTATCTCGCCTGAGCCGAGCTTCCAGGTGAACAGTGTTGGAGGAATATATGTTTGCTCTCCTCAGCTGAGTTTAGGAGTTTCCACAGTAATTATCGAAGTATATATATGACCTCGGGTAGGAATGTACAGGAATCAAGACTCTCATATGTTTTCTCAGCTGAGCTTGAGAGGAGTTTGAAAGTTCACTAGAGAAAAGTGTACAGAAACTAATAATAAATCAGAGAACTTTCCTCAAAGTTTTCATACTGTCATCAACACATGTAGCTGACGATGTGTAAATTTTCTCCAGGTGATTCCTAGATATTATTATAGAACCCAGTATTCACGTGCTAGGTGAATACTCAACATTTCTTTAGTTTATTTCCTCAGCTGAGCTCGTAAGTTACTCGTTCACATAGGAATTCGGGCAGAAGTGCACTTCGCAGGCCACAATAATTTGCAGAAAAGTTCTCGAAACTCAAATATATGCACACGTGTGCACTGTCCCAATACACAGTCTTCAGTAAATAGTTACATAGCCTTGTCCCTTAGCTAATGTATCGCTTCTCACTCATCTGTATATATATGCCTTTTCTATCTATCCCATTCTGCTCTAGTCGTTGAGTAGGATGGTGCTGTCGTCTTGGTAGTTACCAACAGTGTAGAATAGTGTTGGTCCAACACATGTGCATATGTTTGAGTTTCACTCGTTTAGCGTGAACTGGTGTAAAACTCCGTGAGAAATGCTATATTCAAACTAAGCAGTAGCCGTGGAATATGTTTTTCACTTGTGTTTTCCATATCACTAGGGTGGTGAAACTCCATTGTGTAGGTTGGTGTAGTTCTCATGGCGGGAAATGAGTGGAGGAACATACGGGAGATTCGCAGTCTTAATGTGACCCTGCAACCGTTGGTGATCAATGTTGATCAGAAATCATTCGTTCGAATGCTGAGGTAAGTACCTGGGTTAAAGTCTTATTGTTGTGTAGCTGTTGATATCACCAATACCGCTCCATAGGCATGTCCGCAACACCCCCAATTTTCTGTGAATTAGTTTTATATTAATAGAGAGCACGCCAAATGTGTTTTACGCGTTTCTCGCGGTGTGAAATGTGAAATATGATTTCCACTAGTGTTTTTCATATCACTAGGGTGAAACTCCAGGGAGTTTATTTCTATTTCTATATATGATATCAACTGAATGCTATTGTTGGAGATTCACGACCCGTTCTACGTGAAGTGGCGTAAAATTCGTCGAAAAACGCGATATTCGCAGTAGTTGTGAAATATGTTTTCCCAGTAGTGTTTTTCATATCACTAGGGTCAAGAAACTCCAATAAATCAGATTGCACTTCAATGAACTACACTTTAGAGTATAATCATTCTATGTCTACATTTGCTATTATATCAGGTTTATGATGGAGTTATACAGTCTATTCGAAATCGTGCCGGCCAGTGTGGCGCGATATGTGGCCTCGGTGCGAACTGCGGGGAAGACGGATGAGCAGACCGTCCTGGGAAGGTCCACTGCGAGGACGTCTGCTAATTCGTCTATGGTGGCATATCATAATATGTTGGGTAAGTTGAGGATGGAGTGGTATGCAGAGTAAATATTGTTACAGGCGTCTGATAACAGTGAAGAAAGTGTTCCTGATGTGATGACATTCACATGGGAAGATTCAGATGTTCCTAGGCATATGGAAAAATTCAAAATGAGTTCCTCTTCGGGAACATTGGAGTTTCACCCATTTTACGTGAAACGGCGTAATATTCTGTGAAAAAAACGCTATGCAGTAGTCGTGAATCATATTTTTCACTTGTGTTTTTCTATATCACTAGTGTGAAACTCCATCATCGGTTTCTGAATGATTTCCTCGTGAAGTAGGTACGCCGGAATTTGATGCGAGTCAGAGGGCACCAGCTGACAGTAAAGTTTATATTCAAACTTTTACCTTGGACCCGGTGAGCTGTGGTTTCTGTTGTTGTGAGTTATGACTAGCATGGGGGAAAATATGTCCATGATTAGTCACATGTGTTGGTGAGAATTAAAAAAAATCTGCAGAAATCTCGGATGTAATTTTTTGTACTCTGGAAGATGGGAAAATTTTTAAATTTACAAGATTTTTGATTTTTTTCCGAAAAATTGCAAAGTGTAATTCTCTACACTTTCCTGTATAGTGAGGAACCTCGTGAGTTGAGGTGAGGGAAGCAAACATATATTCCTCCAACTCCGATAGCAGCATCGTTGATTTTCATCAGGTGAGGGTCAACCTATCGCTGCATACGAAGAGTTCGCGGGGTAGGCAAGGGGGAAAGGACGACGATGTGGCCTTGGTAAGCTGAGGAGGTTGATTTATTGGAGTTTCCCCCTAGTGATATGAAGAACATGTTTCACGCTCACTCCGCGGAGAACAATTGCGTTGTTAGATACGCCTTATAATTGACATGGAATATTACACCACTTCACGTTAAACGGATCGTGAAACTCCAACATCAGTAAATAAATTTTTCGATACCACACTTGGCGAAATATTATCAATGATATATTGGAGTTTCACCCGTTTTACGTGAAGTGGCGTGAAACTCGGTGAAAAACGCGATATTCGTGGCCTGTAGTA